TCTTTAAATTCTGTCATGTTACAGTAGAGTAGACTGTATTTGTAAAAAGCACAGTATCTGATATTTATTTCTTTATTTTTACTTTATTGTTTACACTGTTATAGATGCCTCATTTTTCCCTCTTTGCCCACCTCCCCCCAGTGCGCGCCCCCCGCCCAGGCCGTCACCACACTGTTGTCTGTGTCTGTGGGTTAAGCATGGATGTTGACATGGTTTTTAATTTTAATTTTAATTGTTGTTCAAGTACAGTTTTCTGCCTTTTACTCCCATCCCAGCCCATCCCCCCCCCCCCGCCATGTGTTTTTAAAGTTGCTTAAATTATTGCACAAGCACTGAATCGATATGAGGGGCTTTCGTGTAAGGGTATTATGCAGGCGGGCCTCTGTGGATGAAGCTTTTTTTAGGAACATTTTAGGAACGAGTCTTGTTTCAGGTTTCTGTAAGCGAGAGAGCTTGGGATTTCTGCCCACCCCCGCTTCTTAACTTTTTTAGAAATTTGGCCTGGAGAATCCCATTAATAACACCAGTCTCAATTGGATGGTCTTGAAGGCAAACTCTTATGGATTTTTACAGGGGTTTATCAAGAAAAGTTCACCTCTTAGTGCCTCCCTTTCTTTCCACCTGCTCTGCTTCAAAGCTCAAGTTAAATACACAAAGGGTTTTCTCCTTTTCTGTCTTTAACATTAAATGGCTGCTGCTTGTCTGGTTCTGTCTGCCTAACCCGTGTGAGTCCCTGTGCTTTTTTGTCATTTTCACACCTCTGTCGGTGTTGCAAAGGGAGTTATGACACTGGTGGTACGAACTAGCCATCTGGTATGATCCCTTTCCACTGTGATTTGTGCATGATTTATTTCATCTCTGGGTCTGGAGAGTCTTAAAGCTTTCCAGAGTGTGTGTGGTTTAGCCTGAATTCTTGGTAGACAGAGCACTTTCTTACACAGATGGTCAGGTATTTAACCAACACGCATCTTACTGGGAGTAAAAAGCAGATGGGAACTAAAAAGTTTTCTTTAGATAGGCAGAAGAAAGCTCAGACTGGAAAGGGTAAAACTTGAGTAACTGACAGTTATCTAAAACTAAGTAATGGTTTCCAGATTACCTCAAAAATTGCATTCAAAACCCCTGGCTGTGATTGCCTTACTATGGTAGTGCTTGATTTTAGTCCTGTTGTGTTTCAAGAGACTGTGCCTTAAATAGATTGTCACACAGTGAAATCGTGATTCCTGCTCCCACCCTTACATGTGCACAAGCCACAGATGCCTGATTCTTAATTAGGTAATGTGTGAGTACCCAATATGGAGGGGAAATGGAAGGACTTATGTCCCTAAATTAAGCTGCAGGAAGGGGCCCTTTTAGGTAAAATAGTTAATGCAAAGGCCTTGACACTTTCTGGGTGAAAAAAGTTAAGGGGTTAAGAAGTAGTACAGATTGTTAGTTACAAAACAGTCACAGGGAGGTCAAGTACAGCATAGGGAATGTAGTCACTAACGTAACAGCTCTGTATGGTGTCAGGTGGGCACTAGAAATATCGGAGGGAACACTTGGTAAAGTAAACTAATTGAAAAATAAAATTAAGTGACAGGAAAAAAAAAAAGACCCTGACATTTTCATCAGAGAACCGCAGTGACACTAGCAGATTGAACACGGCCCAGACAGACAGACCAAGCATAGTGCAAAGCGCTGCCCCTGCTCTGTTTCCGCCTTCCTGATCTTGCACGCCTGTAACCACTGCCGGAGAAACGTGATGCTTGCTTAGAAATGGGATTCCAGGAGTAGAAGGAGACTGAAAAGCAGGAATAACCTCGGGGTAGCCGGCTCCTGCCCCCAGATAATTATCTTTCCTGAGGGCCTGAAAGTTTCCATTTTACTGTTACATACTAATGTGCAGTTGGGTTGCATCAAAGTAAATAATATCGTTTTTTTTGTTGTTGTTGTTTTTAAAGAATGCTGTCTGTCACCTTTGGGAAGGTTCATTTTCACACGTGACCTGAAATCATGCAGCAAGGCTGCTTCCTTCTTAATAGCTTGATGAGAGAGCCACTCCGGGTGGTATGTCTGGGGCCAGGGGGAGTCCGTCACGTTAGAGCCTGGGAAGGCAGCCGCGTGTATCCTAAACGGCGCTAGGCGAGGACCCGGAAATCGGGCTGTGGCTCTGCCTCTGCTCCTTTTCACAGAGGTGGCCTTTGGTAAGCCACGCTGTTAACAGCAGAAGGTGTTAGAAACCAGGCCAATGATCTTGGCTCTGACAGTATACCCTGTGCATGCAGGATGCCTTAACCCACACAACACTGTGATAGAAGATTTAACCCATTTAACAGAAGAGGAGACTCTTGGAGTGGCTATTGACTGGTCCAGGATCACATAGCTAGCTAGCAGTTGTCAAGGCCAGAACTCTAGGCCACACTTGCTCTCTTATCCGTTATACCATGGCAACTTTGGGATGTATTTATCAAGTCTAATATTTTTCTGTTTTTTAATTTATTTCTGCTTTTATCTTGTTTATATTGTCCTTGGGTTTATTGCTTATTTATCACCCTGAGTTGTGATTCATTTATCTTTGTAATTAATGCATAGTTTATGTATTAGTGGAAGTAAGGACTGTATGCACTGGCTGGGACAAAGAAGGATGATAGTCAGTGCTTCTCGCCTGGTGAGTCTTGGCAGCTCTACGATCTGGCCTCATTCCCCAGCATCCTGGTTCTTAGAGCCTTTCAGTTCTCCGATCTGTGCCAACGTCCTTGTCAACTAGCTACATGAGCCAATAAGTAAATGCTCTTTTGAGTTTTTACTTGTACTATCTTCAGGATACTTTGAGTTGGGTATTGAATGACGTGAAACACATTTTAGGTGCCTGAGTAACTACAGAGCTGTTTCCTGTCCCCCTGTCTCACATCTTCCTCGTGTCCTCCTCCTGCGTCCATTTACGAGTGTCGCTCCACCACAGTCATTTGAAAGGCGTTTAATACATTTTTAATCATGCAGGTGGTTACATGTTTACATATTCCTAAACCCATATTTCCTTTTTCATCTACTTTAAGCACAGTCTGAAATATCAGGAAATGTACCTTTTCTTACCAGCTTAGCTCTCTCTCATTGATTTTATTTATACTGTGCTTTCTTTTTTTCTGTGGGTAACATAATTCTGCTGCCTGCATGCTTGAAGGATTCTTTTCCTTCATATCTCTGAAAGTAAAGAGATTTTATTAAGCAATGTCTTGATGTTTTCCCACTTATAGTAACTTTTTCTGGTACATAATGAATGCTTTTGACCTGGAAACTAGGTATTCCTTCATTTATATTTTGTTCATCTCTATCTTTGAATAATTTTGTTTCAAGTGTTTTGATCACTATTATTATTCAGATGTTTATTCTGTACCAGGCACTGTGCAGATCAGTGGGGACAGAGGTGCGTGAAGCAGACACGGTCCCTGTCGCCCTGCCCCTACACACGTCAGCCGGGCCCCGGGTGGGTGTGAGTGTTCTCCGTGCACAGCACTGGCGGCTCGTCACGTTGTGCAGCACGTTGTGTCTGTCGTTCCTGCTGAGATGTGGGCTCCCCGGAAGAGCACTGTGTCTTCATGCCATCGGACAGCCTGATTTATGGGGGGGGATCAGTAAATAATGTTTGAGTAAATGGCTTTATATCACCTACAACATTTTTCCAACTAGTGCTCAGTTTTAAAACTACCAAATGTTTTACGTCCATGATGTATACCTCCTTTCTCACCATTGCACCTGCAATTCCAGCACAGCTGCTTCTGAGAAACAGGAACAGGGATATTATTGAAAGGTGATGTTGATTGTACCCAGATTCTGGGGACTTGCAGGTTTTGTTCCCGCCACCTGGTGGCTACACCAGGATCACAGCACGACACAGGCCTGGCTTTTCCTTCCTGTAGCCAGTGTTTAAAATGTGCTCATAGCGACTGATTAATCTTAGTATTGTTTCCGTCTTATTTAGTTTTAAGGATCTGCATGGTATGTTGGGATTAAGGTCAGAAGCCATTCTTGCTCTGTGTTGTTTTTGTCCTTAGCTGTGTATTTTTTACCTTAAGAACACCATACTAATGCTTACACTAACCAGTTTTAGATTTTAGTCTTATCCTTACAGAGCAGTGTATTTATTGGCATAGCAGTGATTCTGTGGAAGAAATCTTACTATATATAAAAGGTAATATTGACAGTAATGATTGATTCTAAAAGATTATTAAATCCCACTAAATTATAAAGTGTTGAGTAACAAATGTTCCTGAGATCTTACCCATTCGTTCAAAGGAGCCCACATCATTCCAAAGAGGCATCAGCTGCGTTTATTAACTTGGGAGGCGACTTTAAGAGTACATACGAGTCCTGAGACCAAAAGGTTTGTGAAGGACTTCTCTAAGGCATGATTAATTGAACTTGCAGGCTTGCTTCTTCCATTTCTTGTTTATCATAGAGCTGTTTTTGTTTTTAAGGAATGATGACCTGTTTTCTTTTCTGCTCGTTCAGGGAATAGAATGTGAGTTTTGGTTGTGGGTGGCAGTTCAGGAAGTTGTCTCCCGTGGTTCTTGAGTAAAGGTGGAACGCTGACTGTGGAGGAGAGCACTTTCCTCAGACAGAGCTGCCCACGTGGCTGTCCTAGGGTATGACGTGTTCCCATCACGGCAGAGTCCAGGCATAGATCAGACAAATTGACAGGATTTTTAAAGAAAACGAATAGTTCAGATAAGGGTCTGCACACGGGGGATCTAATGACATAAGGCCCCTCTAAAAGACACCTAAAGTCCTGCACTTTTAGGGCTGAGACCGCTTTGGCTGCATGTGAATTCTAACCCTAACAAACAGAGTAGAGTTCTTCTTAAATTCTTTCCTGTTGAATATTTTTATAAATTTAACATGAGTGACACAAATGGACTTTACAGTTTTCCAGATCTATGTATCTAATTTTTCTTCCTTTCATATAAAATGTGGTTTATTTAATCATCCTGATTACCTTTTTTTCTTGTGTTTTATTTCAGTTGGTCGCATTATGTTTCAGCTCTTCTCAGACATATGTCCAAAAACATGCAAAAACTTCCTTTGCCTATGCTCAGGTAAATGAATCATTAAATTATTTCCAATGAGAGCCCTGACTGGTGTAGCTCAGTGGATTGAGAGCCGGCCTGCGAACCAAAGGGTCACTGGTTTGATTCCCAGTCAGGGCACATGCCTGGGTTGCGGGCCAGGTCCTCAGTGGGGGGTGCGTGAAAGACAACCACACACTAATGTTTCTCTCCCTTTCTTTCTCCTTCCCTCCCCCTCTCTCTGAAAATAAATAAATAAAATCTTTTAAAAAAATATTTCCAATGAGAAGTCATGGCTTACAGTTTTTCCTTGCTTAACAGAGTAGATATTTTCCTTAAAAAGTAATGAGCTGATATCCCTGACTGATGTGATTCAGTGGGTTGGGCATCATCCCACAAAACCAAGGGTCACTGGTTCATTTCCCCATTAGGGCACAGGCTTGGGTTCTGGGTTTGGTCCTCCTGGCACGGAAGAAAGGCAACCAATCAATGTTTTTCTCTCAGCTTGATGTTCTCCTCCCCTCTCTCTTCCCCTCTCCCACCTGCCTCTAAAAATAAATAAATAAATAAACTCACTCAAGCATAATGATTGTTTGGCTGTGAGATGAGTTTAGCAAATAAATATTGTTTTCACCTATGTGCAATCAGGGAAGCATTGTGTTTTTCAAAGGAAAGAGAGAAGAAAGAAATGGTCTTTTAAAATGAGAAAGTACTACTGTGTGTAATGAAATCTCCCTACGTTGTAGTTTATAAAATAGCATTTTCAAAACTGATTTGGTACAGTTTCAAAAGTTTCAGTACTCTACAAATTTAGCAATCCAGATTTCACAAGAAATTTAGGATTAGAAGATAGAGGGGCAAAAGATAATGAAGTTATTCTTTGTTATATACTATTGAATTGATATTTTGTAAAGGTACGAGAATGGAGAGGGAAACATCTGTAATGTTACCTTAGAAATAGCAAATTAAAATTTTCTAATCTATGTTTGGGTATCCGCACATGCACGTACAGTCTTTGCACCAGCTCCCTGACCACATTTTTTCTGGAATGACAACAGTTTCTTATCTGTTTTTTCTCCAGTAGCATGTTGAGTCTGCACCACACAATTTAACCTTTTTTTAAAGATTTTTTCCTTGGGTTTTTTTTTTAAGATTTTATTTATTACATTTTTTTTAGAGAGGGGAAGAAAAGGAGGGAAACATTAATGTGCAAGAGAGATATGGATCGCTTGCCTCTCACATGCTCCCCACTGGACACCTGGCCCATAACCCAGGCATGTGCCCTGACAGGGAGTTGAACTGGTGACCTTTCTGTTCACAGGCCAGCGCTCAATCCACTGAGCCACGCCAGCCAGGCCTCAATTTAACATTTATATGCTGCTTTGTGTTATTTATTAGGGTGGGAGGTGTTTTAATTTGTCACACTGTGTGCCTCGTGTATCTTGTACAGTGCCTAGCACACAGGAGTGATTTGACAAAGGAGTAGTTGGAAGGTACTTTCCATGGAAGGATGTTTTTGCAGCTAAACTTCCTTTTTTTCTTTCTTTTTTTTTTTTTTTTCCTCTTTTTTCCAGGGGAGAAAGGCCTTGGGAAAACAACTGGGAAGAAGTTATGTTACAAAGGTTCTACATTCCATCGTGTGGTTAAAAACTTTATGATTCAGGGTGGGGACTTCAGTGAAGGTAGAGCTAAAAGTTATACTCCTAATAACTTCATCTGTCAGTTTCTAAAGCAGTCATTTTTTATTGTAAATATTGTCGCTTACAATATAATGTAAATATTAGGTGGCCATTGAGTAGTTGGGTGAATAAATGTTGTAGACCAAGAATGTATGAAAAACAAAAAACCAAGATATTTTTAGTTGTTTATATGCTATTTTAATAATATAAGTAGTTGGTGAATTACCTGAGGATGAATGCCAAAGCAGTATTTAATTTAATTGTATTTATTCTTCTGGTATGATTACTATTTGAAATAGATTATGGAGATAATTATTTTAATAGTGCTTATTGTAATGGAATGAGGTTTGTTAGGATTTTGATTATTGAAGCAATTACAAGGTATTATTTCCTTCATCAAATTGAAACCATGAAAAGAAATTTATATATACTAGTATGTTTCTAATTTTCATTATAGTTTAATGTAGCTTGTTATTTGCAGGTAATGGAAAAGGTGGAGAATCAATTTATGGTGGATATTTTAAAGGTAAGCCTTAAAATTTTATGGTCTCTTGTTTCAGTTCTGATATTAAAGCAAGTTTGATCATGTACTTTTAATGAGGACAGGTTTACTTATAGTTCACTTTTTGCATGAAACTAATGCTGCATGAAAATACTTTATTTGCATGAACTTGGGGATAAATCATATTGTAATATATAACTTAATTGACAAGATTAATTAAGGCTAACGTTATGGTTAAACGTGACTTTCAGCATGGAGGTTAGGCAACTATATACATGAAAACTCCTATCTTCCTGCCTAAAACTGTCAACATATTCTTTTGTTTATAGAGAATGTGGTCTTTTGCAAAATGAAAAGGTAAGAGAACGAAGCTCAGTAACACGAACTCCAATTCTGTTCCCTTGCACCCTTCCTAATAAATTCGTGGACAGTCTGGGTCAGGTTGTGGCTGGATTTCAGTATTGCTTGAAGACGTGGAAAATTCTTTATACTATTTTATACATCTGTATCTTTTTTCCTTTTCCTGATGGGTTATTAGTTCCACATCAGGGAAAAGAACCTAGTTGTGTCTTTTTTCTCCCTAAACCAAGCAATGTCTTGAATAAAAGTTGGTATTTCTTTCTTCTCCGAGGTTTGTATATTTTCTTTTGTACACTAGGACTCTATGATTGTGTATTATTCCTATAGTAGTAGCATTTGCATAAATCTAACTATTGCACTCGCCCCAAAAAGCCTTAGAAAAGTCAGTTGCAGAGATTTATGATGGGATCCAGTAGTGCTCGGTTTTAATGCCATGGTAGCCTCAGTGTTATAATAGTCTTTTATATTTCTTTTGGGGGAAATGGATTACTACTCTTTTTCAGAAGCCTGTTCCCAAGGTAACCATTTTTAAAAGTTTTCTATGTTTCTGTTTGTTCTAAAGAAAGATTTGTTTGTATGAGTGTTAAGAGCAAATTTAAATTCTCAAGATATTTCTGCTGGCATTAAAATAATATCTAAGTGATCTATGACTGTTTTCGTCAGAGTGGTGGGAAGCAGCTCTTCAGCTGGTCCTGTTAGCACGGAGCTTTGAAATGAAAGCTGGTGGGCCACTTCGCTGTGGCGGCTCCCCGTGGCAGATACCTGTGTAGTTTAAAATTGTATTTTGCCATTTAAGTTGTTTTTACAGGATTTTCTTCCTTAGATAATTTTGTGATCCTACTGACTAGAAGGAATCCACATAATTTAATTCAGGCATGTCTCTACAACTTAATTTATGTAATTTTTTTACTTTTGCTCTTATAGTCTAGCTTCAGTTCACCCAAGTACTGAATTTACCATATAGAAATTAAGCATGTAAGAGGATTATTAAATTTCTCCCATCTATAGTACATTAGGCAGAATAATTTGGAGGAAATGAGCTTTACTAAATAGAGGTTTTTTCCCCCCCTAAAATTCCTTTGTTAGTCTTCCCTGTGAAAGTTACAGTTTAAATATTTAGCCAAAGTATGTTACTACTAAAAGTGACTGTTCTAAGGCTGTTTGTATAAAGTATTAAATACTTGTTCTTTTCCTCAAGGCTTTAAGTAGTATTTTTTGGTCTTTTTATGCTTTTGTTAATTGATTAGTTAAAACTTTTTTTCTAAATATTCAGTCAAGTATCTGTACTGACCAGAAGAGGAATTTCATCCTTTGCTTTCTATTTATTTCTGTGAACATTACACTTGAGAAGTGGTTTATAATTGGAGACTGACGAATTTGTGTTTTCTTCAAACAGATGAAAACTTTATTCTCAAACATGACAGAGCGTTCCTTTTGTCAATGGCAAATCGAGGGAAACATACCAATGGTTCCCAGTTTTTCATGTGAGTAGGCATAATTCGGAGATGAGCTTTTACACAGAGAAGCGCTGTTCATGAGAAAGATGGTAGAGTTAAACCAAATTTAATGTAAGAACTTGGGTTTTATTTTTAATTTCTGATGTTACAGTAACTTGTATGGTCAGGAACCAATTCTGTGTTCAGCATATATCCTGGATTTGAACAATGATGCTTAAAACACATAAATTGAAGATGTACATTATTTTCAAAATAGGTTGTCATCTTACAAAAAGACATTGGCTTTGACTCTTAACCAGTTTGGGGGCTGAGTTTACCAAAGCTAGATTGGAACAGCAACTACTGGTGAACATTCAAGAGTACTAGACGGCCCTGGTATCGTTGCTTTTTCTCCTACTGTGTCTCTTTGAGCCAGTGTGAGAGAGATGCCATTCTTTTCTGATTTTGTGTGGAAATAAGTGATTTGCTGTAAAGCCAGTATTTTAAAAAACTCAAACCTTGTGAGACCTCTATGCATAATCTAATTAACCCAATGTTATTGTCATTTCCACCAAAATTTATGAGATTATCACTCAGGAAACTTCAGCATGCTAAATTTGCTCTTTAAAAAACAAACACCTTTATATATATATGTGCATGCACAACCTGAACCTCACTACTTATTTCCTGTCTGAAAGACTTTTGGAATACTTTTAATTTTGTTCTTAACTACTGCTACTCCAAAGCCTGTTTTAATAGAATCTCCTGATGTTAAATATGAAAGGTAACTGTTCAGCTTGAAGTTCCATGCTTTAGATTGTGAGTAATCTCTATAGTTGTGCTACGTATGCTGGAGAAATATTTTATTCTTGATTTATCAGAAAGTTTTATTGGGGGGTCATCTTTCTAAATGGATGAGTATGAATGGCGCTTCCCTGTCTTTAAAGGATTTTGCATATAATAAATCTCACATTTTTAATGTGTCTGAAAAATAGATGTCCAGTATGACCTGATAAAGTTCAGATAAGGGGCATTCTGTTCCTAAGAATGTCCTAAAAATGGAAAGCTGAGAGAAGATGGTAACACTTGGAGTCAGACAGGGAAAAAGGAAAACCTTAAGCAAAGAGTATTGGTTGTTACACTTCTTTGTATTTTATATTAACCTTCTTCGGGGCCAAAAAAAAGTAGTGGGAAATATTTTGAAAAACTTCTTATATGGTAGCTAATTATGGAAGCTGTTTGCTCTTTGAGTTTTCCCATTTCCATTTTTAAGCTTATCTGAACTGCGCGTGATAAACTAATGATTCATTGGTCAAGAAGCTACCATCTGAGGGCTCTAAAGTTTCTTTTAGATTTTTTTTTATATCAGTACATGTAAAATTTGATTTTATCGGGTAGCAGCAGCTTTTTCCCATTGTTACTTACTGATTAGCTTGTTTGTAAAATGTTAGAATTAAAACTTGTACACCTCCATACATTAATTAAAATCCAGTATGAGATTCTCCCCTCAAAAAATTCAGAGTGTCTTGTTTCTCTGTTAATTAGTACTTGCTTAAGTGTTTCCTAGGAATGTTCAGTGTCAAAACAAAATTAAGGCTATTGCTTAGTTTTACATCACACTGCTATTTTTGACAAGGAATGCGAAATGAAAATTTTAACTTTAGGGAATGAAGATTAAATGTTTTAAACTCATTTTCACAATTAACTGTAGATGGCATTAAAGTCACTGTGAACCTGTAATTGGAAGAAAATGTTTATGTGTAGTTTGAAATTTAATTCTGGAAATGAGTTTCCAAGTTAAAAGCTATCTTGGAAATAATAGAGTGCTTTTGCACGCTCAGAAAAATCCTAATCTCTTTTTTTTTTTATGAATGTGCTTTTTAGTGCTGGCTAAAAGTACTGGTTCCCCCTAGGTTGTAGGGTAAAAATCTAACCAGCAGGTCATGTTTCTAAACAAAACATCTTGCTTTTTTATAGAAAAGATAGTAAAATGGAGATTTTTTTCCACAAAAGAAAAATCTTTGAAAATCATGTTTTGCAGATCCTTTAGAAGTTGGAAGTAGTAAAAAAGTAAAACGTACTGTCTTCAGTTCGTGCATGTGATCGCAGATAATAGGTCTGAAAGTTGAGCTTGGGGGTTGACCACACCCCTGCCCTTCACCTTCTCACCCAACTCCGTCCCTGGCATCTTGAGCAGTCGTTCTGGAAACAGGAAGGACGGAGTAAGACTGGGTGGTGAAATGCCAAGAGCTGCCTTCATAGTTCCTGTTGACAGGCTTACCACGGACTTTTAATCCAGTCCTGCAAAGCTGCACTTGTAGTTTGTGTTCTAAACCTGTTACTGCGCAGTTCCTGAGGAGTAAATTGAACAGTATTAGTGGGGGCATTTTCGAAATGTCCCCCGAGGGTTCTTGTGCTCTGTGCCGTGGCTGTTGTCTTCGTCACTCGCACGTTGAAAACTTGCCCTGGGTTGCGGCATTGCTGTTGCACGTCATTTTGCATGTACTCCTTTCTCTGGGCGGGACAGTTACGGGCATGGGGGAATCAGGTTTTCTTCTGTGGAGCCGTTTGTAGTTCTCGCAGTAACTGCTTATCTCTAGTTCCGTGTTGTCCCACGGTTTTGTGTTAGGGGCCCGAATAGAGGAAAACTGACTCTGTGGAACAGTGCTGCTCAAGAAACACGAGAGGAGTGACACAGGGCGCTGTCCCCACGAACCGCTGAGGATAGTGGCTCATGTTGAGGCGTTTCGGAAGGAATTCAGAGAACAGGGACCAAAGCCATAACCAAGTTAACTCGGCATTCAGTCATTTCGTCCTTTTTGTTACTTTGTTTTAAGCCAAAGATTAGGAAGAGCCGCAATAAAAGCTATAGAATTACAAAACCGTAGAGAGGAAAGGACTTAGAGATCTAGTCCATTCTTTTCGTTCTGCAGATAATGCTAAATGAAGAAGAAAACTCACACCAAGTCCAGGTTATGTAGAAATTTTATTCATAGTCTAGGGGAAAATGGTAGCTGGAAGAAAATGCTGCGCAGTGTCAACTACGAAATCTTCTTGACCACTCTGAATTTATTTGAGTCAGGTATTAGAAGTTTCAAGCATTACTGGAAAACAGAATGACACGTTATAAAGTGCCTACCTCACTTTCAAAGATAAAGTAAATATGTTAGGGTGAAAATGTGGACATAAAAAGAAGAAAGCTTTGTAGGTTGATGCCAAGTTTCTAAACACGTGGAGTGGTTTTTGTGCAAACATCACCTTGCCGGGAGGAAATCATCGCCATCGCTGCTTTTTCCTCGGTCCGGTGGGTGCAGGGTGCGGCAGGGGAGCTTTGGGCCGTGGTGCCTAGAGGTGCCTAGAGCGGGGGCCGGAGGCTTCTGTCCGCTGCTGCCAGGACTCAGGCTCGTGGCTCCGGCCCTTGTCCCCTTTGTGCTTAGTCTGTGCGGGCCGTACATCACAGCCGCAGAGTAGACCCCAGAGCTCTGGAGAAGTCTGTCAGCGGTCATGCTAATTATAAAAGATAAGAAAACAAGATAATACAGATAATACAGAAAAGTCAAAGTTGACTTTACTCAAAAAGGGTTTGCGTTGGGACAGCCCTCAGTAGGCCTACGGGAGGAAAACAGAGGAAGTTCTAGGGTGCGTTCTGCCGTTTAAGAATCTGACTCGCAGGTGCCCCCACCCGAGTGGGAGAGAAGTGCTGACCCTTTCCGAGTAGTGGAGCGAGGGGCTGGGGGTTGGTTTTACGGGCTTCGTAAAGCCTCAACCTTTCGGGTGGCAAAAGTAGATTTGAGAAGAAATGCTAGTAAGTGGTGATAACCTGAGAAGTTCTAGCCTCTTCCTTGCATTTTTTTGGCTAATACCTTTATTTCAAAATTTTTCATGAAGATGTTAAGTAAACTTAACCATAAGCCAAATTCTCTGAGTATCAAGTGTCATCCCTAATTCAGTCTTAGTATTATTTAGTACTTACGTGACACGTGCACCAGTGGATATTGTGTTAACGTGAGCGCTGCATTTTGAAAGCTCCTCTAGGTGACATTTGGGACACGTAAGCAGAGCGCCCTAACGTGGCTTGGTTAGCCTCTGTTGCCCTTACACAGCTTTGTCCCTGTGCAGCTTGTTGGTGCCTCCCCCGTGATGGTGCGATCGTTCCAGGAGTTGGGGGAAACATGCACGTTAAAGGGTCCGCTAGGAGGAAGTAGGTTGTCTTTGTTTCCTTCTCCCATTCCGTTTTACACCTGAAGTCACTTTTTTTACATTCATTGAAACTTCACATCATTTGAAACATATTTTTGACAGTAATTCATGTATCAATGCCCTTCTAAGAAATTAAAACTTGTTTTTAAGTATTTTAATATTTAATATGTTCAAAACCTCCATAAATAATTTTGTCTATATAATAAGGTTTTTGATCTGAGTAGTAATTGATATGTTTAAAGTTCAAGTTAAAATTGGTCAGGCAGTGCATATTCTTTGAAAAATACAAATATAATGGGGAAAATCAGAGATTAGACAGGAAAAGAAAGTACTATCTGTGGCCAGGATTTGATACCATACTCTTACACATTCATCTCTCTTGCCCTTTTCTCTTTTGAGAAGATTCTTAAAATTCTAGTTCTGGCGCTTTATTATTTTATGATGACTGTTTTCAGTGACTTCACAACTACAGCATGTATATGTCAGTGAACAGTAACTAGAGTTCAGACATTTGCCTATGAACTTCGATAGCGGTCTGCCGCGGTGTGGATGGCGGAGTGGTTTCGAACGTGCAGGCACACCAGGTCTTCAGCGGAAGTGAAGCAGTGCAAAAGTTCCCTGAGATTTGGGTTGTTCTGAATCCTCCTCACTCCGTTTTTTCCATTGGCATCTGTGCCTCCCACTGGTACGGCTGACGGTCACGTGGTCCCAGGACACGCTGGTCTCTTCATGAGAGAGGTGGCGGTCACCTTAGCCAGTGGTGAGGGGGAAGGTAACGTTTCGAGAGCAGGTGTGAACACTCCAGTGTTACAGTGTTGAGGGTCGGGGCAGATGCCCGCTTCAGCTACAGTGCTTTGCTCAAGCGTAACCCATCTCCACGTACATACCTGTGTGAAAGAAAATTTAGAGCCCTCCATTTTAAAAAGCTTTCTTGCTTTGCATAAAACTTGAAAATATTTAATTTCAAAGTTGTATTGATAATTAAAACATAGATTCAGTCTTGTCTTAAAAGTGTATTACAATTTATTTCTTGCCATTTTTGTGTAAAATTTACAGAAAGAGTGTTACACCGTGCGCTCCAAAGGTAATGTCTCATTACTCTAAGGCTCTCTCTTTTTCTTTCTTTGCCTTTATCTCTTTAATCCTATTGTTATGTGCATTGAACAATTTTAAGAAAAAAAAAACTCTGCTTAATCTGTATGGCAGCAACACATGCAACACAAGCGTGTGTTACTGTCCGTGGTTAACCCGGGGGAGAGTATGTTTTAACTTCAGTGGCTCGCTTCTGCCCAGTGTCCATGCATCTTTGGGGCGGGAGTGCTACGTTGTATATAACGGGTTTAGATGCCATTTTAGTACGGAGCTGTTAAATTCTGTGTGAGGCCAAAAGTTTCTTTGATAGTGGTGTAAAAATGTAGATTATGGGGATAACAATGGCACTTTTCAATTTCCAGCATTTACAAGGTTTAAATGAACTCTTGCATATATACTGCGGTGGGCAGAAGTAGGTTTACCGCTGTGAGCACATGAAACGCAGAGTTTATTCTTATATTATTATGTATTAATAATTGTGGCATTTATTAGTATTACTAACCTACTTTTGCCCACCCCTGTAACTTTAAAGCAGATTCAAAGGTCAGGGGAATCTAGAAAAGCAATGTCTTAAGTGTCAGGAGAATATGAAATTATTGAAAGCTTTTGTCATTTGAAATGTTCTTTGTGGTTGTTTCTCCTTCAGATATATTTTCACAAGTACGAACAAATGATAGTCTCTGGCCTGAGGTCCTAACTCACTGAGCACAGGCCATCACTGCATGGGACTCCCCAACCGCACAGTTTTGAAAGATCAGTACAACGAAGGGCTGGTGGAATGAGATCTCGTTGTCCATTTTAATAGAACAGAACAGCTCAGACTGAGCATATCATTTCCCCTGCCCTTTCCTTACCCCGTTCGGCACCGCCCTCTGTTCGTTCATGTCCTAGTGCCAGCCCCGTGCCAGCGAGCCTGCTTTACGTGGGGTTTCTGCTTCTGGAATGGAGGCTCAGGATCCCAGAGCGCTTTCTTTCACCAAGGTCCTTTCAGTGTTCTTAATATACAGTCTCACCCAGTGAGGTGTAAGCTTGTATGCTGCATCCTGAATTGCAGTTGTGAGTAATGGACTTAATTATTACACCAGTTCAGGCACAGCGGGCCACCTGAAACTTGCCCTTGAAAGCGTGGTTCCTGTCTTCATTTGTTTTCCTCACTATCACAGGAAAGAACCAAGTTCATTTGTCTTCAGTTTTCATTTGAATTAAAAACAGAAGTTCAGTCTGTCATAAAGGTACCTTCAAACTGAGTCTCAAGTAGTATGTTCCTACATCATGCAGTTAGCTAGGATATTTTCATCCTACCATTGGCTCCAAAGGTTTACCATAAGGTGTTTTTACAGCACTTTTATTAGCCAGGGTGGCAAATTGAATTGGTTCTCTGTGTTAGAAAAATCTGTAGGCTTTCCCCAACATCAGAAGATTGACAGTCGTGAGAGAAAGGATCAAGGAAGGAAGAGGAATAAATGTGACCACAGACCATCCACTGTTTCACTGCTACACATTTGAGACTGAGCCTTGACATTGCAGAACATTTTTACCTTTACCTTTTTTTTACCTCTTTGCAGCTTGCACACAATGGAGTCACTGTCTAGAGTACGGACTGATTTCTGCCTCTCTTTAGAGTGCCTTGGTTAAGTTTTATAATTGTGGGAAGCACACTTCTACCTTAAAGATACTGATCGAGGTAGTTTCTGGATGCTAGTTTAATGATTGAAGCATGCTAGCATCTCACCAATTTGCTAGATTTTCTTTTTTCTTTTTTTTTTTCAAATTTTTATTTATTGGTTTTAGAGAAAGAGAGGGAAGTAGAAAGAGAGAGATAAACATCAATTTGTTGTTCCACTTAACCTGTGCATTCATTGGTTGATTCCCGTATGTGCCCTGACCAGGACCGAACCTACAACCTTGGTGTATTGGGACAATGCTCTAACCAACTGAGCCACCTGGCCAGGGCTCCCTCCCTCCCTCCGACCCCCTTTCCTTCTTTCTTCCTTTCCTCCCTCCCTCCCTTCTTTCCTTCCTTCTTTCCTTCCAACTCTTTTTATTCATTTTTATTATTGCATTAGCTTTAATTACCACTTCTCAGTCTTCTGAGGAAAATTTGAGATTAGTGGTTTAAAACTCAAGATTCCCTTTAAAATTCTGGAACTAATGTAGTGGTCTTACAGAACTGAATTTTCTTAATATAAATGCTACAGTTCCTTGTAGAAGAAAGATTTTTAGCATTGTGATGAAGGTTAAATTGTATTTGGGAGCTTCTAGTACAATTTGACTGTTTTAACAAAGTTAAAGTAAGTTTGTGGTATATACTTCTGAGACTAGCTATATCTGCTTTTGATTTTTTTTTTTTCTTACTGCAATTCACAAGTGTGTGAAAATGCTATGGGAAAACCAGCTTGGGTTCAAAATACCTTAACCAGATGTGCCCCCTAGGCTCCTCAAGAGTGACTGTCTTCCAGTTTATGACTGTGGAAGAAGCCGGCTGAGTGTTTTCTGGGCCGTGGAAGTTCCAAATGTCTATTGATGTTGCCCACCATTAGTTACTCTGCTGTCAGAAGTGCTGGCAGGTGGAAGGTTTGCCCCTACTGCATTTTCAGAGTTGCTGTGAGCGTTAGCAGAGCTTCACCTTAGGGGAAGGAAGAGAGGCGGGAAGGTCTGGAAACAGGATTCCTGTGCCCTGACTCCCATCTGCCTCCCTAGAGGACGCACACTGACTCGGTGTGAAGAACTAGGGCAGAGCGCTTGCTGGCCGCGGCGGCGGCAGCACACATGCAGTAGAAGGACACAGTTCAGTGTGTGGAGCACGTGCCGGTCACACGTTTCTTTCCATAGGGTGAAGGATAGGTACTTTTTACTCTGTTTTACCTTAACAGATTTTGAGTTTGTTTCTTTTTGTTGTTATTTTGGAATTGAGAGGAATTTTAATTTTAATGTCTATGCTGTATATTTCAAACCTATTCATATGTATGAATACATATATAACACTCATTGGAGAAATAGATAATGGTTTTATAATGCATTATGATTTTGAGGGTTTGTCAGTAAAAATGGCTACTACTGCTGTTTTTAAGGTTTTCGTGTAAACATGTACGTGTATATCATGTTTAACTTTTTCCCCTGTCTTTTTATCTTCACCTCTCTGTTTTCTACATGCTCTGTGTTAAACCCTTCTGCTCTATTCTCCCGAACGCCTGGTTTTTGCCGCCATCTTTGTGTCGGTGTTTGTTACACAGCACCACAAAACCTGCTCCGCACCTGGATGGGTAAGAGTTATGTTCTTACTCCCTTGGGGAGGTGTTGGGAGGTTTGGGTGGCTGGTCCCAGACACAGTGGACCTGGGTAACCCCTCAAGGGGGCGCTCTTGGTCTCTGGATGAACCTCACAGCCAGACTCTTCCTTAAGGATCACTTGGTGCCATAGTCTTGAGACTCCATGGCTTTCATGCCCCTCAGAGGTCCTACCTGGGGCCCATGGACAGGCCTTTCAGCGTTGAAGGGCCCCTGTAAGGACGGTTTCTGAGCAGCAAGTGCGTTCTGGCTGTCAGAGGACTCTTTACCGTAAAGTAGTTAAGAGCCATTGATTTAAAGGCAGAAAACTAAGGCCCAGTGTGAGTAGTTGGTTTTTTCCCCCTTTTATGAAGCACATCTCTGGTTCTAGTTCCCTTCATGCATCAAACACTGCTTTTATTTTCAGGTCTGTGGACATGTCATTTATAATAATTGTCTTGATTACTGCTTGTGGCTTACTTATCAGCAAACCAGCTTTTTCTTGAATTTGTATCGTGACAGGGTTCATGTTGTCTTTGGACTAGTTATTTCCGGTTTTGAAGTAATCGAGCAAATCGAAAATCTGAAAACCGATGCTGCAAGCAGACCTTACGCAGACGTGCGAGTTATCGACTGTGGGGTGCTTGCTGCGAAGTCAGCCAAAGATGGTGAGTGTTTGGGACGGGAAAGGGAGCTCAGATACAGGTAATGGGTGTTGAGGGCTGTAACTTAAAGATGCCTCCTGGATTTCAGTGGTGCAAAAACCTCATACGCATGGTATGGCAATAGCCCTGATACCTCGGTGTCACGCCCTATATCTGGTCCATCGGCAAGTCTTACCAGATGTTACCTCTTCCCTGGCTTATGGCGATAGCTTCATGAGTGTTCTTTTTGCCTGGTCTTTACTCCTCTACAATCTTCTCTCAGCAGCAGCAGCCTCCTAATCGGTCTCCTTACTTACACTCTTGGCCCTCTGCAGTTGGCCCTTAACAGCCACCAGAGTGATCTTCTCCTGGGGCTCTGCCGTTTCTGACTTGTTCCCCATCATTCCTTGTCTTCCAGCCGTGTTGGCCTTGACTGCTCAGACATGCCAAGGACTCGGGGACTCTGTGCCCCTCTGCCCTCTGTCTGGAGTGCTCTTCAGAAATCTGCCTGACCCCTCCCTCACCCCTTTATGTCTCTGCTCAAATGTTGCCTTAATTACTCCTGACTCTCCCTGTTCTTTTTACACTGCTTGGTTTGTTTGGGTTTTTTTTTTACAGCACTGTTTGTCATATTATGGGGGTATTTTCTTATACGACCCCACTAGACTTCACGAAGGCAAGGGCTTTGGTGCCTTACAATCTCATCAGCAGATTGTATTATCAGCTTGAAAAAAAATTTAAGTTTCATTGTCAGTGTGCTGTGCATAAAGGGTGCTTCATGATATTTAGTCACGACACTTTTTACTCTGAAAGGTAGACACGCCCATACTAACATTTTTGTTAACGTTTCTTAAAAGTATTTGAGAAAAAAAGGAAGAAACCAACTCACTCAGAAGAATCGGATTCCTCTTCGAATTCCTCTTCCTCTTCAGAATCATCTTCAGAAAGTGAGGTTGAACAGGAGCGAATCAGAAGAAGGAAACACAAGAGGAGGCCAAAAGTTAAGCATTCTAAGAAGAGACGAAAGGAAGCAAGCGGTTCCGAAGAGCCCAGGAATAAACACACAGTGAGCCCGAAAGGGTAGGTGTGAGACCCTGGGGCGGTCTTTCCAAAAAAACAACACAGAACAAAACCCCTCTGGAATGGGGGGAGTAAAGTGTGTATAATTCTGCAAACTTAGCATTGCTCCCTATTGTAAAAAGGATCACATTTTTTATGTAAATCGAAATCTGGCAGATCTAAGTAGCATAGACATTTCATACCAAAGATTTAGTTGTTTAGTTGAAAATAATCCCTGAAACTCTTAAAAGAAAAAAGTTAGGACTCATTTGACAATTTTCAGAATTTTAGTACTGTGGGTTTTCATCTGGGTTGATATTTTACATGTTCTCTTTGGGAAAACTGTATAAACCTTTTGAGTGAGACTTGTAAGGTATCAGTAGTTTTGCTATTTATCATCTAATTTTATGTGCTTTTACTATGAAATGCAAACACTACACATCTTAATTGGTGAATTGGTACATCTCTCACAGTCACTCTGAGAGGAGTGATACCAATGGGAAAAGGTCCGTCGATTCGAATGCTAAGAGGGAAAAGCCAGTGGTCCGCCCAGAAGAGATACCGCCAGTGCCTGAGAACCGGTTTTTACTCAGAAGAGATATGCCTCTTGTCACAGTGGAACCTGAACCGTAAGTGGGATGTTACCCTATGTTTTCATTTCCGATTGATGATTTCATCAGCTCATTGTAGTTCCACACTCATAACTGAGCATGACCCATAATCTGAATGCTTTGAAAGATAACTGGGAGATACTAGACTACAGAAGGACCTGACTACAGAAGGACCTGCACCATGCCTTTCAGAATCCAGGTTCCACGTGTAGGAAAGGGGACCGGGCACGTCAGTCAGCGGGGAGGTTCTTACTGGACACCTGGAAAGACTGCATTACTAATCTTACTTGGCTTTCCATTAGAGGTGAAATTTTAGATGTCAGAGCAAAGTTAGGATCCAACTCTTTTGATCCAACAGAGTAATAAACCGTGTTCCAATTAGAATAGTGTAAAATCAATTGCATGGTAGTTGGTGATAGAATTTAGTATCATAAACGTGTTACTGTCATTAACTTCCCTGGTGATAATTTCTCTGCTTTGGAAAAGCTAATGTATAGCTTTAGATTTGGTCTCAAAAGTTAGTATTTAAAGTATTTTGTGTATTAATTCAAGTTTAGAATTATTTAAAGAAGTATTATATGTGAACACTGAACAGAAATACATTAATAATATTGCTGGTGTAATTGATAAATTCCCGGTGAAGAATCGGTTAGATTAAAGGCTGAGAAGTCATACAAATGTTCCTGTCCACAACCAGGTGCCTACATGAGGTTATTATGTAGTTTATTAACTATTTTTTAGCCTCAATCATCTCATTTTATAAAGGTATTACAAAATAGGGTGCATCTTTGAGTTAATAGCTTTAGATGCTGGTGTTTTCATTTTAAAAACTGCTGGCTTGTGAATAAATTTTAGTGAGACCTTTCTTTTTTTTTAAGATTTTATTTATTTATTTTTAGAGAAGGGAGGGAGGGAGCAGGGGAGAGAGAGAGAGAGAGAGAAACATCAGTGTGCGGTTGCTGGGGGTCATGGCCTGCAACCCAGGCATGTGCCCTGGCTGGGAATCGAACTTGCGACACTTTGGTTCGCAGCCCGCGCTCAATCCACTGAGCTACGCAAGCCAGGACGAGACCCTTCTTTCTTAAAAGACAAGATACCAAGTTCATTGATCCAATCCATTGGCTTTTGGAAGCTAGGAGACTTGAATGGTCAGTTTCCGGGTCCTGTGACAGGGGTTGGCAAACTGTGGTCCGTGGGTCAGATTTGGCCTACTGCCTGGTTTTTTGTGAAGGCTGTGAGCTGAAAATGGGTTTTATGTTTTCAAATGTTTGTGGAAAAAATCAAAGAATAATAATATTTTGTGATACTGGAAATGATAATGACGTTCAATGTTCATAAATAAAGTTTTACTGGAACACGGCCAAGTCACTTGTTCGTACTTTCCTTGGCCCACTTCCGCGCAGCGGCAGAACTGTGCGGCGGGCGGCAGCAGAGTTGGTGCGCAGGCTGTCACGGCCTCTCACTCTGCCCGGGACGCTGTGCCGCACCGGGATGCAGTGGTGCGGTTCCAGCTCTCCAGCGTTGTAGGTGCTGCACGTAGAAACCATGAGAGGGAAAGATGTTTTCAAAAACGAAATATGTAAAATTTCATTACAGATCAGCATTCCCAGACAAACAGCATTAACGTCATCTGTTTTAATAGGAAATACTGTGAACCCTAATTGAGTGAAATGGTACCACACCAAAAGAGAATTTCAGTCTCCTCATGAATAGATGTGTATTACAGAAAATGAAACTCAGTTATTATATTTTAAATTTCATTAATAAATATTTGTGAAAATTGGGGGGTTTGTCCTGTTATGTAAGTGCCTACATAATAGCCCTAATTTAATGACCTCTGTTTTCTGGCATTGTTTAAGGTCGTTTATACGACTGTCTTGAATTTGGATTGAATGTTGCTGATAAGTTTATTTGGTTATTACTCTTCTTTGGTTACATCTCAGGAAGTTATTTTGTGCAGAATTATTTTAAATCACAATTGGCCAATAGTAGTGTCATATAAAATTAGCAGATTGATCTAGGTGACTCAGATCTTTGAGATTTTGATGAGTTGTTTGGGAGCTAGAATTCAGTGTGCTTCAAGCACTCAGCACACGCCAGGGGTAGAAACAGGGGTGGGCAGCCAGAGCGAGCTTGCTGCCTTACTGACTTACCTGCAGTTAAGCTCATTATCACTTACAATTCGCTGAGCAGAAGCTGAGTTCCACACTTGCTGTAGTTCATTTATTCTTAACCCCGGCTGCACTTGACAATAGTTTAGCAAGCTTTAAAAATGCCAATTTCTGGGCCATACAGCAAGTCAAATCAAAAGGTGGAGGAGACGTGGAGGGTGAGGGCAGCACAGGGCCAGTATCTAAAAAGTTCCACATGGCCCTGGCTGGCGTGGCTCAGTGGATTGAGTGCCAGCCTGCGAACTAAAGGGTCGCTGGTTTGATTCCCAGTCAGGCCACATGCCTGGGTTGCAGGCCAGGGCCCTGGTGGGGCTGTGCTAGAGGCAACCGTACATTGATGTTTCTCTCCCTCTTTCTCCTTCTCTCCCTTTCTATCTAAAAATAAATAAATAAAATCTTTAAAAAATAATAAAAATAAAGGGTTCTATGTGGACATCATTTCTTGCTGAACACCTGTAGGGAAGTCATTGGTGTTGAGTGCTTTTTCCCTTTGTGAGGAAAATGGGGCCAACAGCTGCCTACCAACACTACCTAGTGATCTTGTTGTGAGAACCAAGTAACGTCATGAGAATGAAATGACTGGTGAAACCACAATGTAGCTTATAGTTAGAATGATCTGGGTCCAGATTCCTAGAACCCTAGAAAACCCAGAGTCAAGTTTCATTTGTTTCTGTGGCCTTGGGCAAGATTTTTAACCACTGCATCGTAAAATTCTTCAAAATGGAGATGTAATAGTATCTACCCATAGTGTTGTTACGAGAATTAAGTGAGCTAATGCCTATAAAATGCTTATTAAAAACAGCAACAATCTGAAAAGGAAATTAAGAAAGCAGTTCCATTTAAAGTGTCTAAAAGAATAAAACACTTAGGAATAAATTTAATCAAAGAGGTGAAAGACTTGGACAATGAAACTACAGAATATTGTTGAAAGAAATTAAGGAAGACCCTAAATAAATGGAAAGACATTTCATGTTCGTGGAGTGGAACATCATAAAGATGTCAAAGTGAGCTATGGATTAGTACAGTCCCTGTAAAATGCCAACAGCCTTTCTGTAGAAAGGGAAAAGTCAAAACCCAAATTCAAATGGGATTGCAGGGGGTCCTTAAATAGCCAAAATAATCTTGAAAAAGGACAAATTTGGGGGCCCATACTTCCTGATTTCAGAACTTGCTACAAAGCTACAGTCATCAGAATAGTGTGGTATGGCATTAAGAAGAGACATAGAGACCAGTGGAATGCCCATACATCTGTGGCCATTTGATTATTAGACAGGGGGGCCAGTCCATTCAGTGGAGAAAGAGCAGTCTTTTCAGTAAATGGCACTGGGGCAGCTGGACTTCCACATGCAAAAGAAGGAGGTTGGACTGCTGCCTCACATCCTGTACATAAATTAACTCAAAATGGGTGAGCAGCCTAAATGTAAGGGCTAAAACCATAAAACTCCTAGAAAAAGACAGCTAAATCTTCATGACCTTGGATTTGGCAATGAATTCTTATATTGAAGATATATACATGGCCAGTAAGCACATGGAAAGATGCTTCATATCATTACTTGTTAGGGAAATAATAAACCCACAATGAGATAACTACTCCTCACGAAAATGGCTCTAATTAAAACAAACAAACAAACAAACAAACTAGGAATCCTCATTCGTCGTTGGTAGGAATGTAAAATGATGCATTTGCTGTGGGAAAACAGTTTGGTGCTTCCTCAAAAAATTAAACATAGACTTACTGTGTAACCCAGCAATTTCACCAAGTGTCCACCAGTAGATGAATGGATAAACAAAAGTGTGTACACACACACACACGATGGAATGTTATTTGGCTGTGGAGGTTACCAGAGGCTGAGGGAATGGTGGCAGTAGAGAATTCGTGCTTAATTGGGAGAGTTTTGACTTGGGATGATGAAAAAGTTTTGGAAAGATAGCAGTGATGTTCGCACACCATTGTGAATGTAATTAATGCCACTGAGTTGTACACTTAAAATGACCAATTCTATTATATACATACTGTACATATGAAATACAAAGTAAAAAAAAAACATTTAAACATGCTCATTAACATAATGCCTGACACATAGTAAGTACTCAGTAAAAGCTAGCCGTTCTGTTAATAAGAACATACAAAACAGGCAGGTATGAATAAACTTCTCATGCAGGGAACTGTAGCCACCACAAAGTCCGTCCTCTTAAAAGCTGCCTGTAAGGCGGGGCCGCAGATTCAGAGCATTGAAGCGGGGGCAGTTAATAGTAGAGAGATGGAGGCAAATGAACTATAAAAAATATCAAGTAAAAGAAAAACCAGCTAAAAAGGCACAATTAAGCATGAGTCAGAGAGAACTCAGGATTCCCTTAGAACATTACTGTTTTGACAAGAGATTTCTAAAAGAGGTTTTTGTTTAAAAATAGTAATTGTGCTTAAAAGACAAATACTAGTATCATGTATTTCATCCCAGTTGGGTTATTTCCCCTCCCCCCGCCCCCCAGTTTTGGCATTTGAAGGATTAGAAAATTAGGTCAAGTGGAGTACCTCATTCTACGTAAGTGTTGGATCTAAATGAAGTGTTTTTGTGTTATAGGAGCATAAATTCTGCATGTAAACATTGAGAAAACTGCCTGCATTTGCTTATTTTTAATCTTCAATCACCTTTTCCAGGAAGATTCCTGATGCTACACCCACTGTAAGTGATCAGAAACCATCTGTGTCAAAGTCTGGACGGAAGATTAAAGGAAGGGGCACAATTGTACGTTTGCTAAGACTTTTCTTTTTTCAAATTATCTAAGCAGTACAATGTTTTTACCTGTAGGCAAAATGCTAGCTTTGATTTTAGGTGTGATCCGAAATCTGTGCAAGGAGCTAGTTGTGTTCTCCGTAAGCATGGAGAGGAATTGTGTTAGGTCAGAATTTACTGCCGTGTGTGAATAGGTTGGAAGTATGAAATGAGCATGTGAAACTGTCAGGATGCCGAGAAATCTTAGTACACTGAATACTCTAGGCTGATGAATGTAACCACGTGGACTTCGGAGAGGAAGTTTTCACGTGTGATTGCAGGTACATCTCAGCCCTTCCCCATTTCTTTCAGTTGCTTATGTTTGACATAACTTCACATCACCCTTTCGGTACTTCAGTCATTATTGCCTTTGAACGGGGTCTGAGACTGGGTCTCACACCTAACTCTGTTCTGGAGCAGTCTGTACCTAAGAGGTATTTAAAGACCGTGATTCCCGTCTTTGTTTTGAAAGCGCTATCACACACCTCCAAGATCCAGGTCCTGTTCGGAGTCGGATGACGACGACAGCAGTGAGACGCCCCCTCACTGGAAGGAGGAGATGCAGAGACTGAGAGCCTACAGACCGCCCAGTGGGGAGAAGTGGAGTAAAGGAGATAAGTAAGAGCTTTCAGTCTCCGCACAGTCCGATGTCTGCCACGTTTTAAGTGTTAAGGGGATAGAGACCTGCTTTTGGAGTTTGCACTGAATTCTTCAATTTAAAACGAGAGTGGGACCTGAGAACACATTTGGGATACTTGGTGAGAGCGGTGCTGTTCTCAGGAGGCGTTCTGTTTTCCCCTCACAAGACTGACAGCCTGCTGAATCTCTTAAAGACTTCCTGTTCAGTTTTAGGGAATGAACAGGAAGTCTTGCACAGCCAGGCGTCACGGTTACCGATGAATGAACCGGTAGACGGGGAAACCTGTGCCCAGAGTGTGCGTGAACTCCGGCCCCGGGGGCTGTTCCTTCTTCAGAAGTGCACCCATCTCTTACCCTCAGCGACACCCCACAGTGGAACATTTATTTTGGGAACGGGCTGGCTTTGGAATAGCTAGTGGAAATACACTAAAAAGTGAAACTACACCAATGGGACCCGCTGTGGTTGTTCGCGGTAAAATTGTCTTTGTCCGCGTGGGTGTCCGTGGCCAGTTTGGAACTGGAAGAGGGAGGGAAGAGTGCGCACCTGCTGTGCGGAAGCGGCTCGGGCACCGCGGGCCTGAGGACTCTCGATCGTGAGCCCGGCCATGACCAGTGAGACCGTGAAGCCTGCTTCTGTTTTCACGTCCTATTTCCTCGGTCCCCGTAGTAAGTAGTTTAAAGCTTAGGGGAAGGTCTCGATGACCTTTGTGGGGCTGAGATAAAACAATAGCTTCTGGAGCAAAAGGGGTTTCTCTTAGAGTTCCTGTATCTGCAGAGCCCACAGAGTCGTCCGGGAGCGTGGCTGGACGGTGCTCCTGCAGGCAGAGGGTTAGGGGCCGGTCACGGCCGGGAGCTGTGTGTCAGCAGTGCTCTTGCGGTTAGTTGGTTTGGTTCTCAAAACCATTTTCCTATCAAATTTGAAATTCTTTGCTTAGCTTTGGGAAAGTCCTTTTGTGAGTGGCTCTGTGAGCAGTTGTCCAATGTCTGCAGCGGTAAGCTCCAGACCAGAACGACACTCCTTGCCGTATCCTTCCCGCGTGTGCCCACGGAGGCTGCGCTCTGCTGTTAAGTAGGCCTTCATCAGCGCACTTGTATTGACGACGAACGGACGTTGTGTTTATTCTAAAGCATAGAAAGCGTGCTTGCAAATAATATGTGCATATTATGTTCTCTCTGTAGGTTAAGTGACCCCTGTTCAAGCCGATGGGATGAAAGAAGCTTGTCCCAGAGATCGAGATCATGGTCTTACAATGGGTATTATTCAGACCTTAGTACAGCAAGGCACTCCGATGGTCACCATAAAAAACACAGAAAAGAGAAGAAGGTTAAGCATAAAAAGAAAGCTAAAAAGCAGAAACATTGCAGGAGACACAAACAGACTAAGAAGAGAAGGATGATTGTGCCATCTGACATAGAATCCTCAAAATCTTCCACCCGACGGATGAAGCCGTCTGGTGATAGAGAAGGGAGGTCGCGATCTTCCTCATCCACCTCTCGTCACTCGTCAAAGAGGGACTGGTCTAAATCGGACAAGGATGACCAGAGCTCTTCAACTCATTCCAGCAGAGACTCCTACAGATCAAAGTCTCACTCGCAGTCTTACTCTAGAGGAAGCTCAAGATCAAGGACACCATCAAAATCCTCATCACATTCTCGAAGCCGATCCAAGTCCAGATCCAGTTCCAAGTCAGCGCACCAGCGGACAGCATCAGAGTCACCACGAAGAACGGCCTCTCAGCTGAGTGAGAACAAACCCGTTAAAGCAGAACCTTTAAGAGCAGTAGTGCCACAAAATGAAAGCATCATAGTACCACCCCCAGTGGTGGCAGAAAATATTCCCGTGATACCGCTGAGTGACAGTCCCCCTCCTTCGAGGTGGAAGCCTGGGCAGAAGCCCTGGAAGCCCTCTTATGAGCGAATTCAGGAAATGAAAGCGAAAACAACCCCTTTGCTGCCCATCCAAAGCGCTTACAGTTTAGCAAGTATTAAAGAGACTGGTGGCTCATCATCCTACCACAAAAGAGAAAAGAATTCGGAAAGTGACCGGAGTGCTTACTCAAAATACAGTGACAGAAGTTCAGAAAGTTCACCAAGGTCAAGAAGCAGATCCTCCAGGAGCAGATCTTACTCCAGATCGTACTCCAGGTCACGAAGCGTAGCTAGTTCGCGTTCCAGGTCTAGGTCTCCCTCCTCCAGATCTCATTCGCGGAACAAGTACAGTGACCGTTCCCAGTACAGTCGATCATCTTCGTACTCTTCTGTCAGCAGTGACGCCGGCAGGCGAGCCAAGAGGAAACTGAGGTCCCGTGGGAAAAAAAGTAGCGCTTCAAATAAAAGGCGCAGCAGCAGCTCTGAAAAGACACTTCGCAATAAATACGTGAAGGGCAGAGACAAGTCGTCATGTCAGAGAAAGTACAGCGAAAGCAAGTCATCTTTGGATTATTCTTCGGACAGCGATCGGTCAAGTGTCCAGGCTACACAGTCCACCCAGGGGAGAGGGAAGCAAGCCCAAACGGAAATGAACAATAAACAAGAGAAAAACAGAGACGGAGGGAAATCCAGGCCTGAACAGGAACGCCCTCATTCAAAAAGAACTCTGAAAGGGGATCTCTCCGATCACTTTAGAAATGGCGGTAAGCCCAAAAGGAAGAATTACGCTGGGAGCAAATGGGACTCAGAGTCCAATTCTGAACGAGACATAACCAAAAACAGTAAAAGTAACTCCCGGCCGTCTTCCGATAAGGAGGAAGGGGAGGCCACGTCAGATTCCGAATCAGAGTTCGGTGAAACTCACACCAAAGCCAAACCCACAGCAAAGGCTTCGGCAGGCCCTTCGCCGGGCGATGGCAGCGGTGCTCGGAGGCCGGGCAGACAGCGGCCCTCGGCCTCGGACTCGGAGGGGTCCTGTGGCGACTCGGAGCACCCTCGGGGGAAGCCGCGGAAGCGCAAGCACGGGTCAAAGGAGAACCTCAAGAGGGAACACACCAAAAAAGTGAAAGAGAAAACAAAGGGCAAGAAAGACAAAAAGCACAAGGCTCCAAAACGAAAACAGGCCTTCCACTGGCAGCCTCCACTGGAATTTGGGGAAGAGGAGGAGGAGGAGGTTAGTGAAAAGCAAGTGACTCAGGAGTCACAGGAGAAAAAACAAGTGTCTGAAAACAGCGAAACCACAAAGGAAAATACCCCCCAACCTGAGAAGCCCCATGAAGATGGCAGCCTCTCAGGCAAACAGAACTCGGCGGCGACCTCCTCGGGTGCCGAGCAGCCGGCCGACGACGACGACGGTAAACTCGGCGCCTCTCCCGCACCTTCACGCGCAGAGGAGAAGGTGGCCGGTTCGCCCCCACGCCTTCAGCCCCTCGAAGAAAGTGTCTCCAGCGGCGTGGAGGACGTGTTCCAAGCCGATGACAACATGGAGATTTGCACCCCGGATAGGAGTTCCCCAGCAAAGGTGGAGGGGGCGTCCCCTCTGGGGGGTGCGCGGCCGGATGTGCCCGAGGTGGGCCTTGTGACGGAGGAGGTGCAGGCGGAGCACCCCGAGGCAGAGGCGCGCACTCAGGACAGCAGCGTGACCGAAGGCCCCGCCGCCACGGTGGGCGAGGCGGGGAGAGCGGACGGCGGGCCTGCGGGCCCGGCCGGCGCCGTGGAAAGCACGGCGAGGAAGGAGGTGGCCGACAGGGGCCAGCTCGGCCTCCTGGACAATAAGTGGAAGCCCCTGCAAGGGGCGGGCCACCTGGCAGCACCGGCGACTGTCACATCCAGCGCCCTGGAAGGCAAGGCGTTGACCGCTCTGCCTGAAGTGAAGCCGCAAGGCTTGAGGATCGAAATTAAAAGCAAAAATAAAGTGCGGCCTGGGTCTCTCTTTGATGAAGTAAGAAAGACGGCACGCTTGAACCGGAGGCCGAGAAATCAGGAGAGTTCAAGTGATGAGCAGACGCCTAGTCGGGACGGCGACAGCCAGTCCCGGAGCCCCAGTCGGTCTCGCAGTAAATCCGAAACCAAGTCCAGACACAGAACGCGGTCTGTCTCCTACAGTCACTCGAGAAGTCGGTCTCGAAGTTCCACGTCATCTTATCGGTGAGCCATATTCCCTTTCCTTTCTTCCTCCCAAAGAGAGTCTGTTACTGTTTAGCTTGGAAGAACCCCAGAATTAGGGACAAGATCGCTATTTCCAAATATCTGGAAGGTGGATACGGAGAAGTCTTGTGCCGGTGACTCAGAGAGCAGATTGAGGACACGGAGCGGGTTCCAGGGAAGCAGCTGGGGCGCGGTGTAGAAAGCTGTCACTTCCCGTTGGAGCTCTCTGGCAGCAGGAGTCAGTCGCCGCGGTAGGTGGCAGCTCTCCACTCACTGGCAGGGTGGAGAGGGTGGAGAGACCCTCCGCCTGACCCTCCCCTTCACACACGAGGGAGCGCAGGACCGCGGAGACCAAGCTGCCTGCTCAAGGCAAGCATCTGGATGAGCTCTTTCTCATTTTATTTTTCATTATGGCTTACATTCAGTGTTATTTTGTATTAGCGGCAGGTGGACAGCATAGTGGTTAGACATTCGTAGGCTTTACGAGCGTTCCCCTGGTATTTCCAGTCCCCACCTGGCCCCGTACATGGTTATTAGAATATTACTGACTGTATTCCCTGTGCTGTACTGTACATCCTCGTGACTTTTTTAATAACCAAATTGTGCCTCTTAATCCCTTTACCTTTTTTGCCCAATTCGGTGATCTTTATTCAAGGCTGGGACGGGGTTGGAGGGACGGTATAAACCATCATCTTTAGATATATTTATTTATTTATTTTCGGTTCAAGTTGCAGCCAACTTTTGTCATCAGCATAGGCTGAGAGTTTTTTTAAGCTAAAAAAGAAGTGGTGGTGGTGGTGGTGATAGGAATAAGTAGTTCATACTCTTTGTGTTGTAAATATCTCTTGGTTTCACCTCCCTATCTCTTAATTACTCATATGTCTTACTATTTTACGCTTGATTTCCATGACTTGAACTTAAAATACAATAATAGTCTTTGAGCGTTTTTGTGTCCCTTTCTAGTTATTTGTCGGTCTTTCTCTCCCTTCACCCCGATTTCTTTAAAACTAGGAAACAGCACTTGCACCTGCGTAACTGTTTCCCATTTACTCCTCAGCTGCTTGCAGTCTGTCTTCTGTGCCTCGCCTCCCCCATCTCGCTAGCCCGAGTGAGGTTTTCACGTTCTCCCACGCGGCCGGTTTTTGGTCCTCGCCTTCTGGAAGCCCTCTGCTGACGCTCCTCACCCCTCTTACACCATCCCGTGTTTGTGCTGTGGGCCCCCCCCTCCTCCTGCCCCGACTCCCAGCAGGCCCAGGCAGCTGGCGAACCCTGGTGTTTCCTGTTCCTGGGTGCAGTTACCTGTCTCCTGCCTCCTGTCTGCTCAACATCTGCCTTCCCGTGTACTCGCTGGTAGCTCTGAGCTGTTGGCGACGCTGGCCACTCTCATTTCGTGCCTTCCGACGAGTGCCGCTGGGGTGGGTGGTGCTTCGTCGTACGAACGAAGGCGGGCACAGCGAGGCCGAGCAGTGAGCTCTAAACTGTTCAGCCGAGGCAGCAGGCCGACATAGCTGAAATCTGTCTTCCCGATTTGGTTCCCCGCCTGGGTCTGACTCCCCTGCTGGGCTGTGGACTGGCCGAAGTGAGGGACTGCCTTGCAGAGAACACCCTGACTCTGCCCAAAACACCCACCGAGACTGATCCGTGCTGACCGATCTCCCTGCCTGGCCCCAGGGGCCATCACCACTAGACGACCAAGGCAAGAGCGGGGTTGTCGTTGGCAATACAGCCACACCACAATTACTGGAGCACTGAAACGTGCTGGATTTTTTGTGTATTAAATCAAAAATGAAAGTAAGTGAGTTCTCTGTACCCAGGGATATTCTTTTTAAGCGTGGACGTTTCTGACAGGACCGAATACCAAGGGCCACGTGGCATCAGCTAAAGATGCTCATGGACATTCTGGATGGACTGAATGTCTGCTGATCCACAGACTGTCCCCCGCTGGTCTTTCAGCCTCCTCCCGGTCCGCTTTAGGATTGTTGTTGAGCAAACAAATGACTAGAGTCTTGTTGGAAGGCAGTGCGGTCGAGGCTGCGTGCACCCCGGGAAGGGGTTCCCGGAAGTGGCCTGAACGCAGGGTTACAGCCCCGACCCGGAGCGACGGGCACGAAGCAGGGCGGGCGGGGCGGGGCGGGGGGCCGAGTGCATGCAGAGGGCAGGGCTGCCTTCCTTACGTTTCTGTTTGATTAACGGTTAAATAGATGCAAACATAAAATACATGACTAAGGTATAAAACGTAATTTAAGATGTCATAGAACCTTAGTAGAGCTTCGATGTGCCTGATGGAGCCCTGCGCAGTGCTACCCACTGTCTCTCCTCTCCTAGTCAGTATTCTAAACCGTCGGCATGGTTTTGGTGCTTTTCTGTGTGGTCTTTCCTCAGATGTTTCTGTCTTTATACAGGGTTGCTTTTGCATGTTTTCAAACAAAATCCTTTTATATATAGATGTTGTTCTGTGTTTACCTTTTCCACTCACCATTATGTTCCAAAGAGATGTCTCAGTTGTTACGTGAGGCTTTAGCTCATTCATTTTCCTGCTTTAGAATATTTCAGTATATATCTCTGAGTTAATTTTTTTAACCCATTCTGCCGTTAATGGAGATTAGATTACTTCCTCTTCTGATATTACTAATAGGGCTTCTGGTATTTCCTCTTCTGCTACACATACCTGTAGCAGCATTTCCTGGCTTTTCTGTGTGTCAGTCTGTTCCATTTAAACCCTTTTTAACTGTCACCGTCACACCCACACTGCAAGGAGTTCACGAGAGACCTTTCCCACGGCCTGTCCTCTTACTGTGGTTTCCCTCCCTGCCCTGTAAGTAACTTAATTTTAACAGCGTGGGGGTTAATACAGTGATAGCTTTACACTCCTAATTGTAGATCAAGAAGCTATTCTCGAAGTCGGAGCAGAGGGTGGTACAGCAGGGGCCGCACGAGAAGCCGGAGCAGTTCCTCCCGCAGCTACAAAAGTCACAGGTGAGCTCGTGAGTCCCGCCCTCCGTGCGGCCTCCATCCTGGCTGCCATCCGTGCCTATCGCTGCCCAGTGCCAGTCCGGCCCCTTCCCCCAGCCAGTTCCCTCTCAGGGAGCAGTCAGACGCTCACTGGCTGTTCTCGGGACGGGACCCTCCCAGAATGAGGAAAGGCAAGCAGTAGAGATATTGAAGAGAGGCCCTGACCACTGTATCTCTACCTCCTCCCTATCCCAGCGTGCATCTTCCTTACCCTGAGTCCACACCTGCACTCGCCTCTTGACTTGGGTTAGATATCGGGATAGGAGAAGTTGGAGTTTGTTTTGGTTTTTTGTTTTGTTTTTTGTTTTTTAAAGATTTTATTTATTTTTAGAGAGGGAAGGGAGGGAGAAAGAGAGAGAGAGAGAGAAACATCAATGTGCAGTTGCTGGGGGTCATGGCCTGCGACCCAGGCAGGTACCCTGACTGGGAATCGAACCTGTGACACTGGTTCGCAGCCTGTGCTCAAACCACTGAGCTACACCAGCCGGGGCCGGAGTTTTTTTTTTTTCCCCAAAGTAGGTTTACAGTTCTGAGTACAGGCAGCAGCTTATTCTTGTATTATTATTTATTAATTTTTTTATTTGTATTATAACTGTAAACCTCCTTTTTTTAAAAAAAAAGATTTTATAGAGAGAAGGGAAGGGAGGGAGAAAGAGAGGGAGAGAAACATTGCTGTGTGAGAAATAACATCAGTTAGTTGCCTCTCACATGCCCCCAACTGGGGACCCGGCCCACAGCTCAGGCATGTACCCTGACTGGGAATTGAACCAGTGACCCTTTGGTTCACAGGCCGGTGCTCAGTCCACTGAGGCACACCAGCCGGGGCAGGATAGGAGGAGTTTTAAAGAGGGACCAAATGAAGAAGTGGGGTGAGGGTAATCCCAGATTTCTGGCTCTCACAGATTCTTCAGACCCTCGTTTGCCTTTCAGGCATTTCCCACAACTGCAGCTTCACGTTATTCACAAGGCAGTGTCCCGCCTGGGCAGACCTCTCGTCCCCTCCGCCCGCACGCAGTTAGAGCCTCCCCAGTGACTTCCTCTGGGCGCACCCCCGAGAAGAGTAGCCTAAAACTCAATCCGTCTCATGCAATCCAACATGCTTTTTTAAAAATCCAGTGTACTTTTGATACAGCGACTAACAGCTGCCGGGTTTCGTTGTGTTTCCTTGATGGGTAAATGAATGTCTAGATTTTTGATGTAGCCTGTCCCGCTGCACGCACTGACGGTCCCTCATGTGATTCATACTAGGACGTCCAGCAGGAGCAGATCCAGGAGCAGCTCGTATGACCCCCACAGTCGGTCCAGGTACAGACGGGGGTGGGGACCCCCACAGGGGCAGGACCACGAGGCCTTTTTTGTAGAACCCTCATGCCCTTTAAACGTGTTGGGTTTTGTTGAGAAACTTAAACACACGCGTTTGTCTCGTGAAACCACGCCCCTTCTAAACGGGGTCTTTTCGACAGTTTTTCCTGTTGGCCCGTTCTGCTCCGGGGTCAGAAGGCACAATCGCTGTCAGGCTGTAGGGGCAGGGGTCACTGAGCACAGTGCACCATGTCGGCCAGACTCGCTCCGCCCAGCTCAGTGTTAGTTCTGTGACGTTTCTCCATTTGGTGCGGCATGTCTGGTCTGGGGCGGCTGTGAAACATCTCCGGTGCTTGTCACGCGAGCGTGTCTCACTGTCGCACACGCCCACGGCCTCAGAGACAGACCTCTCTTGAGCTCCTGAAGGGGAGTGGGAACAGGTGAGTGTTGGAGTAGAAAACCTGAGAGTTCACTGTCGCTGTCGAAGCAGGTCCTACACGTACGACAGCTACGACAGCAGGAGCCGGAGTCGCAGCAGAAGCCAGAGGAGCGACAGTTACCACCGAGGCAGGAGCTACAACAGGCGGTCCAGGTGGGTCTCCCCCGAAGCCCTGCGCGGACGGTCCTGTGGGCGCTCGGCCTGCGAGGCCGTAGACTCGGGAGAGAAAACGTGATCGTCTTAGGATGGAAATCCCCTCCCCTGTCCTTGAACTTCAGCAGCCTCCAGGCAGCTGCAGACGCGGCCTTCGTGTTAAAGGCGCTGGGTAACGTTTGCTGGTTGTTGTTGACGTTGGAACCTAAAGCGGGTTTTTAGATTCTCACATGTCCTTGGACAGACATTTTTCTCGGAAGGAGTGAAGAGAGAAGTCCACCCAAACTGAGGCCCACTTTTTAAAATGGGGCTCATTGCTAGAAATAGCAGAGCGAGTTTGTTAATTTTTTAAATTAAAAAAAAAGTATATAATAAGATGCTATAGTCAGTTGCTTCAGCAGCAGGATTAAGTTTCATATCTCGACGTTTATTTGGGGGAAATGTGCTTTTTATTTATTTGTAAGTACTATGTTTTATGTAACATTTTGCCCAGTACTGTAAGTTTTTCTGGGACTTTGTTGTGTCCCTTTCCTGGTGGCCTTCAGCCTTACCCTCCCCTCATCCACTGCAGGGACAACCCGTGATCCTTCTGGAAGGTGACTGCTATCTGGACACTTCCTTGTCCTAAACTCGTCAAGGGCTCTGTCCACGCTGCCCTCCAGGGCAGGGCCAGGCTCCTTAGCGTTGCACCTCAGGCCTTTCCGCCTGCAGCTCCAGCCCGGGCTTTTCTGCCTTCTCCCTTTAATGTGCGGGAACCTTTGCTTCTGCTGGAGACACCCGCTTGCCTCTTGAAATGGCCAGTTCCCACCCACCCTGCAGGTCTGCGCCGCAACCCTCTGCCCCGGGAAGCCCTCCACGCCTCTAACCCTGATGTGTGCCACCCCACCCCCGTGCGCAGTTCCCCTCTTCTGTATTGTCCTGGAGCTGCAGGGAACATTTGGTCACTGTGTGTGTGTGTGTGTGTTCCTAGTGTCTAGCAAAGAGACTGGCTCTCAGTGAATATTTCGCAGTCTAACTGGATGGTGACCATCACCCTGTCCTCTTGACCCCCTGTCCCAGTGCTCCCTCCTTCTGTGCCCGCCCCCTTGCCCCCCCATTGGGCACCATTTTGATTTCCATATCTGGAATGAAACACTCTTCATGCACCTTCTCCCCTTACTTCCTCAGTCTAATTAAGTAAGTATTGATGCTCGTTTGGGTAGCATGGAAAATTATTGTTTGTTTGCATGAGTGGAATTCAGGTAACTTTCCAGGATGTGGTGTTTCCTTATTTTATCTGAACCTTGCTATTACTACTCTCTACCATTTAAAGCATCTCTGAAACGTCCTCAGTGTTACCACCCACCCCCAGCCAGCAGTCCCCCCACCCCCGTCCCCCCATGGTGCTGGGTGCCACCTGGGGGGAGGGCTTTCAGCCAGTCTGGTGAAAAAAGAAGCCACCAGGGGAAATCAGAGGGTTGACAGCTAAAACGTGTTTGTGTGTTTGTTTTGTTTTGTTGCACAGGAGTTGTAGATCTTACGGCTCTGACAGCGAAAGTGACCGAAGTTACTCTCATCGCCGGAGTCCCAGTGAAAGCAGCAGATATAGTTGAAAATGCCCCCTTTTTTGATACAGATTATATCTTATTTGTAAATATCTGGTAACTTAAAAGTGTAAGAAACGTAATGGCAGTCTGTTGTTCTATTTCAATATTAGAGATGAATTTCAAAAGTAGACACTTCTTAATTGTTACTCATTCCTTGTGTGCAGAATTTAAAGTACAGATATGTCTCCTAAAAATATTTTTATGCCACATTTTACAGTAGCCAGCTATGGAAGTGAAATTTCATTTTCTTGAATCAAGAAACCATGAACTCTTAGTATAATTTGCAATATTATTTTGGATAGACTATTTCTCTCCATTCACGTATTCCTTAGAGTACGGACTCTTTCTGCCCGTCGTCAGGTTCTGGTATGTGTGCTGCCGAGCACAGGCCCGTGGAGAACCGTGGAAGGCGGCCAGGTGTCCGCACACCTGGTACAGAGCCCCGTGCGCCCGTGCTCTTGGAGACACACCACCCGGCTGCACACCGCCGGCAGCCAGGATGGGGCGGCGGCGCTGGGGCTCTCCGCTCCTTCCTTCCTCCTCCGTCGTCTCCGAGGACTGGGAGAGTGGTCACCGAACAGCCTGCTGTCTGTACTACTTCTGGCTGGCAGGCGTGAGGGTAAGAGGAATAAACCAGCCTTAACTCTCAGTACCTACACTGTCTCTAAGGGCCTACCGTTCACGTGCTTTCTAATCAGTAAGATCAGAAGTTCGGACTGGAAAGGACAGTTCCGTTCCAGTCCACCCTCTGGTGCTTGGTGCTTTTCGGTGCCCCTTGAAGCCTCGTTCTTCTCTACTATACATTACAGTCTCACGAGAGAGAGAGATTAATTTTTTATTCGCCGGCACCAAACATGGTTCCTTCTGAGCTGTATTCACTTCAACTGTTTAGAGGGGTTCTCTCAAGCCACAGGCGTGGGCTGGGGGCCTCCCGGACCGGGCAGGGTTGGCAGAGGGGGCTGTGTGGCCACACAGGCCTGCTGCATGTGACTGGCGGGTGTGCCTCTGGAGGAGCGGATCGAAGACTGGACTTCAGAAGTAACAGCGGAGCCTACCTGCCGCCATCCTGGACGCTTCGCAGGGCCTTTGGGTCCAGTGGCCGACCGACCACAGGAGCAGCCGAGCGGCGCTCGGCACCAGCCGCACTCCCCGTTTGCGCCGTGTCCCGCGCTGACGCGGTGGGGGGGCCCTGCGTGACGGGTGCGCCCAGGGCAAAGGGAAAGAGGGGCATACGGGATGGCGTACACCGCACGTTTTCACAGTTCTGGGTGGTTCCTCCAAAAATGTGTGGTTGGTGAAAGCCGGTGTGATTTTTTTTTTAATCTAGTTGGCGTTCCCCCAAGTGTACTTATCACCTTAGTGCCAGCTGAGTCCGGTCACGCAGGAGAAGTTCACACTGGGTGTTCGGGCAGGACGCGGTGCCGCCCCACCCAGGCCGCGCCCGGGGTGCTGGGGAAGGGGGGGCGCCTCCGGAGGGGGACCTGGTAGCCCTTGGTGGATGGAGGGGTGGCCTTGGATGTGTTCAAACCGTTACCCGGAAACGGTTCCTAAACAGGGTCAAGGGGTCAGTCGTTTGCCAGGTCGATAGAGTGCGTCAGAAAACGAGACCCAAGTCACACAGACATACTGTCTGACACAGTGACTACAAAATGTTGTGATTCACATGAAGGGTTTTCAAAAGTTGCCTGCAGTGGAGACTATTGCTGTAATAATACTCTGGGAGAAATCAGTATTCAGAGCCCAAACAAAAACTGCCAAATCTCATTATGTTGAGGAAAGTTACTGCTGGGCAGTGGATACGTTTACCTCGTCAAGAACGACTCCAGACTCAGCAGCTTAAACAGCACCCACTTCTTAGCTCCCGGTTCTGTAGCTCGTGCGTCCAGCTCGGCAGGGCTGGGCTCGGCTCAGGGCCTCGCGGGGCAGGAACCGGGGTCCGCAGGGCAGCGTTCCCCCTGCCGGGGGCTCCAGGGAAGGCGCTGCTCCCAGGTCCGTGCAGGGGCTGGCAGTACTCTGTTCCTGGGCGGGGGCCTTTCTCTCGGCGCCTCCTCCAGGCTCCCCAGGTCCCAGTTCCCCTTCGTGCGCTCCTTCTCCCCATCTGCAGACCAGCGAGGGCCCAGCGAGTCCTCCTCCTCCGATCTCCCTCCTCCTCTATGTTAAGGGTCATGCGATTCCCTGGAGCCCACCGAGGCAGTCCCCCCATTTCAAGGTCATAGAACGGACCCCCACGGGAGCGGTCCCCTAGGCACAGGTTCCTGGGTGGGGGCACAGAACAGGGCAGGGGCCCTGTAGAAGCCGGCCTCCCGCGGGCAGTCCCTTTGCCCCCCCGGGCCGGCAGCCTGGCCCGGGAGCCTCATCGGTTCTCTCTGTGGAAAAGAGCGACGCCCAGCGTGCGTGTTTGCCGCGTGAGCTGCAGAGACGGCTGTTCTTCCTGAGGGGACTGTTCTGTGTTTTAAGGTAATTTTTAATGAAATCGAATTATGTTGCGTTCTGTGCTGCTTAATAGAAAATGCATTATCGGGCTGTTTTTGTAAGGTCCCGTTTACTGCAAATGCAACATGATATAGCTGGTGTTTAAAAACTAGAAGAACTTTTGTACATATCAGCAGCGTCTAATTTGTATACACTTCATTTAAATTCCCCTAAAACTTGAAAGGGGCGCCTTGTAGAAATTAAAACGTGTACTTAGTTTACGTCTGCGCCTGTGCGTGCTTCATCTTTCCCTGCACAGACCGAACTGGTCCTTTTGGGGTGGCAGGGGACACTGTGGGCCCGTCTGCCGGCCGCCTCCAAGGCTCCTTTTCCCCCGTAGCCGGGAACTTCAGGCAGCAACTGCCCCGAGAAGCTCCGGTGGTGCCTGGTGCCCCACCCCCCAGGAGCTCCAGAGTGGCCCCGGGCTTGGCTGCGGTCACCCGGCTGCAACCACACGCCGACGTGTGTGCCGGGGAAGGAGTGCGTGTCCCATCCACCTGCGAGTGGCTGCCTGGGGACGGCGGCTCCCCTGCGAACCCACCTATGCAGCTTGCACACCTGCGTCCCCACGGCTCGCCAGCCAGCCACACGGCACGCGCTCCTGGAGGGAACATTCGTGGGGTTATTTTTAGCAGCCACAGGAGAATCTGCAGAGCAAGTACAATTAACTTTTTTCTCCTCGGGACTCCAAGGAATTGGTGTTTGCTTGGCGAAGACAGCATAACCCCTTGCAAGTAAGGCTTGTAGAGATTCCGTTTTCAAAATTCTGTCAACAGTAGACCCCACCCCCCTCAAGTCGGGCAGCTCCTGACGACAGTCCAATCTGGATATGTTGCTTTAAACTTTTAAGAAAATTTGCAAGTCTGCCATGGAAAATCCCCAAGCAAGTTTCCTTCGGGGTCTTGTTTTCTAGGGAGCGCTTGGGATCTTGCTGGGCATCTTCACCAGCGGGGCGGGGTGGGGGGAAAGGCACGGGGAGCTTTGGTCTCAACTGTTCTGAATCAGCTGGGTCTTGAAGAGGAGCTCAAAGAATCCAAAGAAAATGCCCCTCGTGGGCCACCATGCCACCAGAAGGGAAAAGAGACCCCACTCGGTGCAGTGGGAAGCCTGCAGGTTAGCCCTGGACCAGGAGAGGGGCCTGCTCGAGGGCACCTGCGCTGCAGCTGCCGCCCCGCAGTGACGGCTGGAGCCTGCGGTCCCCTGAGGAACCTGGGGTGGGAGGAGCTGGGAGGGGTGCTGGAGGGCTCCTGCTCAACGGGGAGCCTTCCTCTGGTGCTGTGAAGGCAGCAGCCTCACAGGGGACAGGCTGGGCAGCTCAGGTCAGTGCCCGGTGAGGGTGAGGCAAGGAGCCCACACCAAGGGGCCGGGGGCGGGGGGGCCTGAAAGGTCTGGTTTTCTTAAGGTTCCGGTAGAAAAAGGCAATGCTCCCTCGCCCCTGCCTCCTCCTCCCTGTTGGTGGGTGGCTAGGGCAACCCCAGCTGACCCAGGGCCCTGCAGGGTGGGGCAGTTAGGTCTCTGGGTGGGGGCTGGAGGGGCGGTGCTGAGGTTCTGCCTCCTCCGAGCTCGGCACTAACAGGCTACAGCTGCTGGCGGGTGGGGACCTAATTCAAACCAGCAGGTTGCCTGTTCCCTCCCGCAGCCCGGGCGTCATGGCCTTGGCATCCGAGGCCTCCAAGGCCTCCCTCGCTGCGCTTGGGGTTCTCTCCACCCTGCGGGGCCAGGGACCCCAGGCCTCTCATTAGTGACTGAGTCTGGCCTTCCATGTGGAGCCACTGGGGCCTCCCCTCCTCCTGGAGGCAGGCCCCGGGGCCAGCGTCCTGAACCGCTTGGCTCTGGGCCTGGCTCTAAGCATTTAATCCCGTTCTAGGAGGGAGGAGGCCTCCATCCCTGTTCTCAGAGGAGGAGCTGAATTCTAAAAATCCAAGCAATTTCTCTGAAGTTCCCCGACTTTAGGAAATGCCAAAGCAGAACTTGAACCCAGGCAGTCTGGCTCTGGCCCCAAACCCTTAAGGGCTGCGCCACAGAATAGTTGCTCATAGGGATACTTTGTATCTTCAAAGTGAAATGAAATGAAGCCAGAAGCATGGAGGCCAGCGTGCTCCCTTCTCAGAGGGTCTGGCCTGGTGGCAGATTTTAGCTGTGGGAGGCCCTGGATGGCCCGGGGCTGAAGTGCCAGCCCCAGTGGCCGCTCTGCTCTCCCTCCCTCCCCCATCTCAGCTGCAGCAGGTGCACAGCTCCGAGGTGCCCAGGGAGGCTGAGCCTGCACAGCCACTCAGCCACACATGCACACACATGCCAGGTTCCATAGGGGCAAGTCTGGTTTCCCCAGCCAAGCCTGGGGCTGCTAGTTTGGTCCCCAACACGGCAGAGCCACTCGGGGCTGGATGCTTGCGGAAGTTGTGAGAAAACCCGCAGGCTGGCCTCTGGGGGCAGGGGCCGGGCTGCTGATCTGGCCAACCCAGCTCCAGGTGTCTAAAGGCTCCTTGAGCTCGTCCTTGTCTCCACAAACTCCTGGCTTCCCGCCGGGGCATGCCATTCTGGCCCTGGATCCCCGTCCCCAGGAACCCAGTCCCACCCTGCCCCCTCCAGAAAGCCTGCCTTGGCCTTGACCAGGCCTGCGGCGAAACTCCTGGGCAGGGCCCCCGCCAAGGCCCAGAGAGCAATCCATGCAGCCGGCACTCCTGCCCGACTGGAATTTGACATCACATCGCCTCCAGCTTCTGCAGATGCTAAACTGCCTCCTGCCTCCTGGTGCTCTCCCTGCCTGGGGCGCCCTTCCCTCCCTCCGCTCTGGCTGATGTTCACTCAACTGGCAGGCCTCGGCTCCGAGCGGCCCCTTGAGCCCACCAGACCACGCTCCTCCAACCACAGCCCCTTCCTGCCAGTTCTAGTGTGGCCCGAGAGCCGGCAGCTTCACAGAGAGCCCAGGCTCTGCCCGGGGCTCCCGCAGATGGGTGGTAGGCCAGAGAAGCAAGAAGAACAGCTGGGGTCTTCGTGGAGATCCTACCATTCCCTCCCTTCTCACCCAGCCTCCAGCCCCTCCTTGGGTGTGACTGCTGCAATCCCAAGGCCAATCCCGAAGCCCTACCTTGGTCCCGCTGGCCCGCCAAGCCGTGATTGGGCAGTGGGCCCAGGAGTGGCCCGGCCGTCCTCTCTGCCAGGCTGCCCCTGGCCGTGGGGGAGGCCTCCCTCTCCCGGCCTCCCTCTCCCAACCTCCCCTTCCCCTGGCTCCTGATGCTGGTGCCGGGCTGTGTGATTTGTCCTGCTCTGGGTCTCACTGCCCTTATCCAACCAAAGGCCGCACAACCCCTCTCTTGCCACCTCCCAGGCTGGTGCGGGGACCCACTGAGTCAGACGAGGAGGTGGGTCATAGGGAGGAAGAGGCAGAGGCAGCCCCGAGGTGATGGGCCAGTGTGGCACATAAGCCGCCCTGGCCTGGCCGCAGCCCGAGGCCTGTGGGAGCTGAGCCAGCTGTTGCGCACCTACCACGGCCACAGAGAGCAAAATGTCTGTCTGCAGTGGCTGCCGCTGGGGACACGTCCCCATCAGTGCCCCTTCCTCTCTCCCCATCTCTTTGTCCACCAGGGTCTCTCCTGACCCTCCGTCCAGCTGGGTGCATTTCTTCCTTTCCTCCTGGCGCCCATCTTTGCCCCTGAGGTGTTTTCTCCCCCCCGCCCCACTCTGGGACAGCCAGGTCATAACGGCCTCCCCATTCTGGCCTTAGGGGAGGCCCATTCAATCTTGCAGGACAGACCACCAGACGGTAGGTGGGTGCCTCCCCGGGATCGTGGCCCCTGCCTCGTTTTCCCCTGGCACTCTGAACCAAGTCACTCCAAACAGGCCCCCAAGTCCCTGCCCACGGGTGAGGCAGGTGGCACACTCGGGGGCTACTCCTGCGGCTGGTGTGTAAGCACCAGCGGGTGTGAGGATGGAGGGGGAGGGGCTGAGTGGCACTGCCAGGACAGGGCAGTGGGATGGTGACAGGACATGGGGCCGCAGGCAACTTGGGGTGGGGTGGGGGTGGTGCATCTGAATGATGACATGGCCACAGGAGAGGCCCACAGAGGCCCCCTCTTTACAACAGTGGCCCAGCCACCCCCTGGGCCCTGCCAGGCCCAGCGCCCGGTGGTCCCCACCCTGCTGCCGGCTCAGCCTGGCAGCCTTCCTTTGTAGCCTCCCGCCAGCACAGCCAGCCCCCAGCCCCCACTGGTGTCCGTGCCAGAGCAGCATTCCGCAGGCCTGGCTTCATCTCCCCAGCAGAGACTGAGCGAGGAGGCTGAGCAGCCGTCAGGTCGTAGGGCTGCCGGCGCCGTGGGGCCTGGGCCTCTGGCCCCCACTCCTCAAGTCGCTCCTTCTCCTGGGCCAGTCACCTTAAAGGATTTGGTCACTACAGCCGTGGTGCCGTTCTTGTTATCCCCTGCCCTAGGTGGACCGACCTGGGCAGCCGGAGGAGGCCACCAGGTAGGTGCCGGCCGACCAGAACTGCGTCCTGGAAACAGCAAAATAAAATGAGCCCTGGGCTGCCCTGGAGCAGCGGTGAGGGGCCCGGCTGGTTGGAGATCCCGGACTCACCCTCCGAGCAGCCCAGGACAGAGGGTGGGGGTGGTGAGCGCGGCTAGTGTGCCGGTTCTGGTCCTCGGCGTGGGATGGCTCGGGGGAGCAGGTGGAAGCTTTCTGCAGCTGGTTGGGGGGCGGGTGCGCCCAGCCTCTAGATCTCAGGGCCGCCTCCTACTCCGACCCCGCCTCTGTGGCGCAGCTGGAGGGCACCGAGGTTAGACTCCGGGACTAACAGCCCGGCGGCGGACAGGGGCCTCAGCGCGGGAGAGTGAGGCCGGGGTCCATCCGCTAGGATGGCAGGCACGGGGCCTGGCTGCGGGTCCCCGCGGTCCGAGGCAGAGCGGGCAGCTCCGGGACGGAGCACACCACGCGTGTCCATGCCCCGCGCCTGCACGCAGGGCTGCCTGGCCCTTTAAGCGTCCAGACGGCGGCCCCAGCTGACGCGCGGGCTCCAATCGGCGCCCCGCGCCCCCCGCCCGACGCGCCCGAGGCTCTGGGGCCGCAGCTGCTCGGCTGCTGGACTCGCTGCGGCCCTGCGCCTCCGCCCGCCCGGCCGCGCCCCCGGGGGCCATGGTCGCGGGGCCCTGCGCGGGGGCGGCCCCCAGCGCGGCGCTTCATGGAGCGGCCCCGGCCCGGCCGCCGGGGGCAGCGCGATCCCGCGGGG